AAAGTTCAAGGGGGCCAAATACTTTTGCAAGCCACTGTAAAATCACTCTGCTTTAAGTCTGCCTTAACCATGTTAAAGTCTGTATTTACATAATTTCCTCAAGGATTAATATAATATTCTGATTCGCATGATTCACAGACACCTGTATGCATGAAGTGATTTATGTTGTTTCATTAGTGTACATATATACAGCTTGTACTTTATGCATTTATTGCTCTGTTGATGAATAAGATTGGTACACTGTTTCAAGTGCTTTGACATGTCAGCATGGCTAGAAAAACATCGTATGAACATGCATCCAAAACATGAGATGGTACAATCTTCAGTCTTCGGTCTTTGGTCCAGCTGGTTCATACCTCTGTTTAGAATCACTCCAAGTGATCCTAAACAAATCGTTTAACCTAGAGAGAGCTGAACCCTAGAGTTTCATCAGCAGTGAGCTGGTACAAAGATCCTTTCTTTCTGCTCATTTAGCTGTGGCTCAACCAGCTGGGCAACACGTCACAGCTTGACCAGCAACAACCGCTAAATCTGTGTGTGCTCATTTGTGCAGTAACTCTGAAGACCCAGAAAAAAGCTCCGCTGTAACACCTGCAAAGCTGTGACACATCTCTAGAGCAGCTTGAGGAAAAATCTGGAACATCAATATAAGCAAAGAAGCAGCTGATCAGAAAAGAAAAACGAGGAACACAGGAGATTCATCACTCGTCGTCGACATTCTCCTTATCAAAAACATGACAGATAACGCAGGACAATTCACTCCCTCCCAGTGTTGATGGAGGATTGGTTTCCCCCTGAGCACGTCAAGGAGCAGATGTTTGAGCTGTATGAATCCTGGACTAGAAAGACGTCAGATGTCTTCCAGAAAGCTTTACCAATAACCAGAGGACCAGATCCAGGATTATCAGCGGTGTATCTCAGAGCCTCATTCATCCATTTGGGATGTTGAATGTTCTTTATTTCTGACTTCTAGGAGAAAAACGTAAATGCTGCTCTGACCCCTGAAAAGAGTCTGGATATCTGGTATGACATTGGAGATCAGAGACTTGTCTCCAATAAAGAAGACCTCAAAGCTGAAATTCAAAGCCTTAAACTGACTCAGTATTAGCCTCTCCATCCTGTGAAGCCAGATCTGATCGCAGGCAGAACTCAGGCTGACATCTGATTGAGGAGAACTGTCCTGATGACGTTCAAGGCGCTTTGGTTGACTGTAGCCACAATTAGTTTGTAAATGAGCCCTTTTTTATTGGTCTAATAATGGTTTTGTGACAACTCATCTGTATTTATTTGTAAAAAGATCAAATATGACTTACCAATCCCCTTACTTTGCATCATTATGCACACAACTGCCTCACAAACAGGTCTGTATAAACGTGGTCAATCAAGAGAATGAGCTATTTTGACTTATAGACCTGTGACGATGGGGAATTTGGAACAAGCCAGATGTTAAGACTAAAAATACAGGTTAACCTTTTTTTTTTTTTTTTAAATCACAAAAAGCTGACTTTGAATTTTCTCCTTATTTTTCCATGACATTTCTCCAGGCAGTGAGCAACCTTGAGAAAGAAGGTAAAAGTATGTGTCTCATACCACATGCATAGAGAGTTGCCAGCCCTGTGTTACAGTAAGAGCTTTAGCAGATATTGCTTTGACTGTAGCTCTGCCTTTCCTAATCAGGAAGTGCTACTGTATGTACATGAGGCTCACAAACTTCCAAAGTTAATCATCCCATAGATTTTTTTCCCCCATTAAGTAGCCAGTCTCTGTTCTTCTGCTGCAACTTTACCATTGCTAAAAACAACATGCTCACATGTTCGTGATGCTAACAAACTTCTGTTGCTCCTACTGGAGATTTCTTTAAGCTTCTCGCTTGGACATTTTTGTAACAGTTCTGGTACTTGAGTTGTATAAAGAAAGTTGTCATTGCAATATGCTTTTTTTTTTTTTCCCTTGTCACGATGCTGCTTGGCAGCCTGTTGCACAGCTCCCAAATCTTAACCAGCTTGTATTACTGCCTGGACTGAGCCATGTAATCCTGGTGAAGCTACAGAGGAAATGAGGGTGGTTTCATTGGTGATTGGGCAATAATAAGGACAAGCTAGGCGATCTCAAACTTCCCACACCACAGCGTGACCGTACCTCACTTCAGGACTTTTTAGGTGGACAGGAATGTTATTCTGAGCTGAGATGAAACGTGGGGGCATTGCACCAGTTGTGATTGAAATGTGGCGTAATCCCACAGATGTTGGTGCAAGGAGGTGTTTCTGAGTTGCTTTTTCTTGGATTATATCCACATTGTCACTGTTCTGTTTTAATCTGGTTTAAATCAACACATTGTCTGGATTCCTTCATCACCTGATGAAGAGGTCATCCAAATGACTGTGGATGGTTTTGACTGGCTGTGGATAATTAATGGATCCTGACCATCCACTACACCACATACTAGACATGCAGTTGAACACGTACTCATCTGTTTCAACTCGGCTGCCACAAGGACAGACACGTGAAATCTTTACCACCTCATCTCTATACAACATTTATCTTAACCTGTTTGTTTTATAATGTTTGGATTTTATTTTACTGAATAACTTTTTTCACTGTTTTGGTTGCTGTGACATAATTTCACAAAATTTCTTCTGCTTTGAGCTGAGTGCTTTATTAGCTAAAAGCATGCAATGTGACTGACCAGTAGCATTCGTTGGACATTTGTTGTAGACAGTTTCTCCAGCTGAGGCTCTCTTCCATGACATCGAGAGGAGATGCTCGTCTTTGCATATCTCATGAGGCGCTATAGAAGAAGGTGAGAAACACATAGAAAAAAAGCAAAATGAAGTCAAGCCTAGTAGGAGAACAGAAAAAAAAATCACCACGCGCACAAACACGCACTCGCACGCACACACACGCCGAACCAGAAGAAATAAAAAAAAGGGAGACAGACAGAAGCAAAGCACAAAAAAAAGCCACGATTCAAATCAATGTTCTCCTGCAGCAGCTCCCAATCTTATTCCCTTGTACATTCTCAGAGCTCTCTGTCGGTGTCATTGCCTCAGTACAGTATCTCATTCCCTCTTCATCTTACCCCCTCGTTTTATTCATCTGTTTTCCACCCCTCCCTCTCTTTCATAACCATGATGAAAAAACAGGCAGGGGGAGGGGGAGCTGGGTGCTCTGAAGATATTCCAAGGGGGCACACTAGGGTTGGCAGAGGCAGATGCAGAGAGATGAAGAGGGACGGAGAGCGTAGAGCGAAGAAGGAGAAAATGTGTGATGTTCCCCCTGCAATGCCAACAGACAAGATCCTCGTCTAGTGTAAAAAAAGCTTTAGAGCTACGAAAAACAAAGAGGTCATGATGGAGCCTCCACTCAAAAGTTTATCATTTGCAACCCGTCAAGTCTCAGTGCTAACACAAGTGACACGCACTGAAAATATACTTGCATACATATATATATATACCAACACACATGCACAGCTTCAGTCAGGAGTCATACTTATTAAAAACCACAGTGTTTCCTGCAATGGCTGACACTGACAAATAGCACCAAGCGGACCATTGAACATCCTGCCCTCCACCGGGGAGAGAAACATAGAAGGAAATAAAGCAAGTGAGAGACAAAGAGTAAGGGAGATTAGTGCTTTGAAAAAAAATGTTAAACAGGAGAGATATAAGGAGAAAGCAAATAACTCACAGATATAGAGAGAGGATAAAAAGAAGGCAATACAAGGGAAAAATGCAAAATCAATGACGAGGTGAAGACGGACGGGTATGTGAACTGACATGAAGACAGGCAAAGGACAGAAAAGGATGTGAAGAGCTCTAAAAGTGCGAAGGTAGCTTTTGGGTATGCTGTTAATCTCTTGGAATTGCTTCCATTCTGCTCGATAGGTAGTGTGCAAGTGCAATTTTGGCACACACACGCACTCTTTTAAACTTCAAAAATACCACAAAATCATCGTAAAAACAAAGGGAAAATGCGAAAGACAAAAACTAGGGCATGAAACGGTTATACAGATTATACTGAAGCCCTCTGTCTGTAACGCACACTCAAGCTACTGACCAGGGCACTTTTTCTCATTACACGACCGGACCTCCTCTCCTAAGCCATCGCAGGGGTAGCCTTGCAATCCAGTGCCCTCGCACATCCTGAGGCGTCGCTGCCATCCAGAGTCACACGTCTTGCTGCAGAGACTCCAGTGGTTCCAGCTGCCCCAGTTACCTCCACCTAGCGCAAGAGGAAGAGCGCCACCAGTGAAGATGGAAGTACCGCAATGCATGGCAAAAGAAAAAAAAAAAGAAAAAGAAATGACAGTTATGAATGAAGTAGTAAATTTAACTTACAAGTCTAAAGCTGTTTTATTAGTGTGAGAAATTAAGTCAATACGAGCCCATTCTCGGGCCCAGGCTCATTAAACACACTAGTATTTTTGTTCTCTGGGGCTCCTGTCGAAACAGACTCATAAGCCAAATTAGGTCCCAACCCAATAATTACTCATGTGTGGAATATGAATCAGAAAAACAACCGTGTGGATGCCTTTAGATAATGCATGTTCTGTGTTTGCATAATGCCATCTGAGAGCATGTGACTGTGAATACTAATTTGTGTTACCGGAGCACGAAGGGTTGGTGCATTCTCTGCTCTCCTGATGGGGGCCTTTGCATTCAGCCCAGCCGTGCACCGATGGGCTACAGCGCCTCTGCCTCTGCTCGGTCCCTGTGTCACAAGTCACGCTGCATTTCGACCAAGGCCCCCAGTCTGACCACTGGCCCTCCACTGGATCGGGAGACAGATCCGAGAAGATAAAGAGACACGGGAGCATGCACGAGGGTGAAGGGATGAAGATTTTTAAAGAGGAATCAGAAATGAAAAAAAAAAAAAAGGAAAAAAAAGACAATGGTTGTCAGTGGAAAGGAAGGTACAGAGAAAGAGAGGGAGGAAAAAGACAAGGCAGATAAAGTGAGCAGGCTGAATAGAATATACAATGAGTTAGGATGAACAGCAAATAAATTACAGAAGCTATTTCGCTTCCCATAAATAGCAACAAACAAACACAGTGCAACTCCCATTTTAATGGACATTTTAAATATTTCAAACTGTTACAAAAAAACCTAAAAAAAGCTGAATGCAATTTCTTCCACGCTTTGTTTTAAAAGAGTTCACACAAACTCCATTTGGTTGGATTTTCACCCACAGTATTATTAAAAAGAGAATGCATTCCTACTATTGACTGGTGTTTGTGCGGAAACAGATAGAAATAATAATAATTCAAATACAATGAAGTACTGCCTGTCGGACAGCTTAACCGAAGCCTGACGACACGCATCGATGTAATCAAAGCCCCTGCTGTCCATTCTAATGGGTGCTAGAAAAGGAAGTGTTGCTTGGGAGTAATTGAGTTGTCAGATGAAATATTCAAATACAATAAAATGACATTAACCAAACCCCAAACAAGCAGATAAGATTTTTTTTTGGCACGTTATCGTCTTCAAAGAGAGCTATAGATTCAACTTTGAAGATCTGTGTCGCAGAAAAAATAAAAAAATAAAACACTTTTTTGATTAGAAATCTTTGTAATAAAGCAAAAAAGAACTGACAGAGGAGCCAATTACTAGCCTGTAGCCATGTTCCTTTATGTTTCTGAATGCAGAGACACTTGTCAAAGCGCTACAATTTCAGAAAATTCAATCACAAAAGCGACTGCCAAAATCTTCTCTGACAATATGCTAGTTTCTAGCTGTTTAACAAAAGGTTGTGTTCAACTGTATTATTACTGCAGTTAAATTGTCCTAAACAGATAATATCTGGGCATTTGTTTTACCTGCAGCAGCAGCAGCATGAAGGAGCCAATTTAACTAGGTTTTTATTGTTACACTGTCACATTAATTCTGTTCGGTTTACGCCGCATTTAATTGCACGGAATAGTCAATTGCTATTTTCTAAACAAATGCTTTACCACTTCTTTCACACAAGCACACACAATCCTGAAAAATAATAATTGAAATGGAGTAATAAATCAATGCCTCCTTTTGTTGGCGACAGTGTCACTTATGTAAAACAATAATGTGTTGCCTCCAGCTGGAATTATTGAAGGACCTGAGCTGTGCTTTTGCACAAATTTGAATTCTTAATGATGTGTAATGATTTAACTGCTGCCTGCTAAAACTGTCACATTAATTGGTTTTTGAGACAATTTTGGACACTAAAATAAACCGTTAAGGCTAAACTGACATTATCAGCTAAGAAATTAGATAAGGTGTGCGCGCTATCAAACAAGGCAGTATTTACACATCCAGGAGACAGACAGTCGCATTAGCATTCATACTGAGGTGGCGTTTCTGGCCACATAACTAAATCTAATATTTTCTTTTAGCTCTGTTTCACTCCCTACAGATTACATAAGGATACAGAATAAAACACGGTCCCAAGCAACCACATTTAGCCCTGGGAAAGTACACTGCATAGCTTTTTCTGAGCTCTTCTGACTAAACTGCACTCTAGTACCAATGCTTATTAGTATGTAGAAAATGATCTAAACAGAAAATGAAAAAGTAGCTTTAAAATATATCATATTTAATGACAGGTTTAGTCAGCTCTAGTAAAACATTATACGTTACAGTTCAAGAGTTTGTTTGGTGAGCATTAGTTAACAGGGGCCGATAAATGATTCAAGAATAAGAAGGCCCCGAACTCAAGACGGTTAAACCAGTTTTTTGTCTAAGAGAAAACTTAACAAAGACCTTTTTTTAAATTCTATCTTTAGTCA